TCAGTGGGGAAAATGAGAGAGAGAAATGTGAGATATTGGTAGAGAGAGAGAGGGGGGCGAACATTTAGATATGGATAGAGAAAGATCAAAAATGTGAGATATGGATGGTGATAGAAGAAAGATGCAGTGTGTGATGTGTGGTGATAGAGGGAGAGATGTATGTGAGATGTGGGTGGAGGCAGAGCGGAGAATGTATGATGAGAGAGAAATGGGGAATGTTAGATAAGGATGGAGGGGCAGAGAGAAGAGAATATGAGATTGGATGGAGAGAGTGATGGGAAAAATGTGATATTGGTGGTGTGAGAAGGGATTAAATTTTGAGGTACCACAGGAGGGAGAGAGCCTGTATATGTGAGATGGGTGGCGACTGAGAACAGGAAATGTGAGATATATTTGGAAAAAGATTGGTAAAAATGTGATATATGTGTGGGGAAATAGAGAAATATGATATATGCGTGGAGGGAGAGAAGGAAATATGAGATAAGTGTGGAGGAAGTGAGAAAATATGAGATATATGCGGAGGGATTTAGAAACTCTGATATATATATATATATATATATATATATATATATATATATATATATATATATATATATGTGTGTGTGTGTGTGTGTGTGTGTGTGGAGAGGCAGTGAAAATGAGTAAATATATAAATATAGAGGGAGGGATATATGGATGGTGAGAGAGAGAGATTGAATGAAAGATGAAAAGAAGGATAAAGAGAAACTGAGTGGGGGGAAAAGAGAAACTGAGTGGGGGGAAAAGAGAAACAGGCATTAAAATCCTGACATAAAATTGGCTTTATATGTCACGTTCAACTGTTAACTCCGCTGAAGAGAATAAGTAAATGCTTCTATGTAAAAAAACTATCCATATTATCTATATTTTGATTTAGGATATTTGAGGATAAAGGGTAGAAAACAATTGCTATTCCAGAAGTAGACCAGACAATGTATCTGCTTACTTCGTAAAATTCACCACCACGGGAACGCACTGCTTTTTCCAACCGTTATGTGTACAATGTGCAAATCGATTGTATCTGATGGGCCTCCCTCTGAGAATAGCGTAATTGATTTGATTGCGTCAAATGGGAGAGGGCAAAAAGAGAAAAAAATGAACAATATATAAAAGAAAGAAAAAGAATTGAATAAATCGAAAAATAAAAAAAAGGTCGAAACAGTTAAACCGGTAATGAAGGTTTTGAGAGCTAAACATAAAATCGTGGAAAAATAGCGGAACGAACGTAACTAAAGCGAAACAGTGAAAGAAGAATCATTTAGTGAATTTAATGCGAGCCGGGACACCGACAGACTGGCTTAACCTAGAAACGTTTTTGTCTTCCAAACGACATTCTGTTCTTATTATAAAAAATTAAAGAGCAAAACAAAGATATAACAAGAATAAATCGAACAAAAAAAAAAGAAAGAATGTTTGCACTCGCTTTTTTTTCCATTGAGAGGCACTGAACGCTGGCTACTGGAGAGGATTGGATTGCGCATGCGTGGATCAGTTTCGTTTTCAGCGCACAGCGAGATAATAAATGTGTTATCGCATCGCATCGGTTCGAATCGCGATGCTATTCGTGTGTAATCCCTTTGCTTTGAATAACCTAACGGGCAAAGAGTTGGGTTTGAGAATGCAAAATAGAAAAATCTGAAAATGGGTGAGATCGTAATAGGAAATGGAATGGAATCGGAGCCAAAGATATGCGATCTGAGGTAAAGTGAGGACAAAAACGTGGCGCTGATTGGAGACAAAATGTGACTGCAAAAGAGACCAGAGATATAAAGTGAAATGTAGATGAATAAAAGATAGACGTAACGCTGAAGAAAAAGAATAGGGAATCAAGAAGCGTCAGATTGTATAGGTAAGTGAAAGGACGAAAAGAAAATAGAAACTACATAAGGCATTACGTCCTTCGAAAAAATTTCTTCAGAAAAATAATGGATTTATCGTTGTAATGTAGATACATGAATAACGCTAAGGGTACAGAAAAGCTTAGATTTAACTTTAGTCTTTGTTTTTAAATTTGGGATTTCCGATGCATATTGACATATGATATGCCAAGAAATAAATATATATCACTCCTCGTGGATACTTCGTATTACGCTTTCAGAAAATCTGAAAATTCTATGGAAAAAGCAGTGATATTTCAACACGTATATGCGCTCATTTGATATATGGGGATTTATGTAAGACAGCACACATTTAAAAACACATATTTACACGTATCTAGTATTATGTCAGAAAAATCTTATGAATTTCTATTATGAATAACCAAGCAAAGAATTAAGAAATGAGAACTGTATTTTCTATCATCCATTATGGCGGTGAATGCTGAAAAACTTTCTCACGGACGAAGATTAGACTTATGGCAACAAATCTTTGGTTCTACACAAGAATACTCAGCATGTCATGAAAGAATTTGAGTAATGGTGAATTTTAAGGAAAACAGAAGCGTTAAAATTATATTTGGCATCAGAAAAAAAAAAAAACAGTTTAGATATTTGAGGCCAAAATTCATAAAAAGGCTTGAATGAATTTCCAATTACATAGCATAATTAAGTTAAGATTTGCAGAGTGAAACAGAAATTAACCATTCAGCAAGCCTGAGCAAATAGATAGCAGATCAAGGAGTAGGTGATAGAGTAAAATACAAAAAAAATTATAAGAGTCAGAGAGGTCAGAATGTTGTGGGTAGCCATGATCGCCTACACGATGACAGAACACAGCACACACTTCGTAACAAATCATATGATAATAATTTTCTTACATTTTTTAAATATATGCTATAACGTCTAATTTATATATAATATTACGGATGCAACTTATGGTAGTCCTAGTCATAAGATGAAATCTGTCCTCTGTAAAATATCTTCATCGATGATTATGGCGTAACTTTTTCTAATTACCTTAAAGCAATACTTTTATTCTATTTAAACTTTATTCTGTGACCTGTAGTGACCTTCAATTAACGAAGAGACATTTCTGAACAAATTTGCCAAGGTGTGTCTACTGGAGAGAATTAAAGGCTAAAATCGTCCCGCTTTCTATTATTTGTCTCCATATTTTATTTATAAAGGTTAAGACGAATGGTGCCAAAATGAAGAATTTTCTCGAAGTGAGAAAAATAACGATAGCAAAGTGTAATGGGTTGGGACGAGAAAGAGACGTATAAGAGAAATGACAATGAAAGAAGAAATGAATGCACGTAGAAGCAGACAATATTAAAAGAAACAAGAAAGACGATGTCATCCGATTGAAAATAGAAAGAGTTTTCTCTAGAAGAAAGATTAATAAACGTGTTCTTCTCGTGGATAGGAGCGCTGAGTACATCTCACCGATGTCAGTTCTCAGCTCTTGAGCGCTGGGGAAATGGCAAATACTTTGATTTTTTTCAACACAGTCAGACACTATCGACAAACAAAGTGACAAGTAAAGAAGAATGGAGTCAACATAATGATATATATATATATATATATATATATATATATATATATATATATATATATATATATATATTTCCCAATACGAGATATTTGCGTTCAAGTAGTTTCAGTTACATTCTCTAAAATTTGGAATTCAGATATTTTCTTTAGTTATATTGTTTGACACCCGAGGTTACATAACCCAGTGTACCCCATTCAAACGGGTCAAAATGGGGGATCGTTAATAAAAATACGTATTAAACATTATTTATCTTATAGTGTATAAAATAAATAACCTGTAATATGTCTATTTAATCAAATTGCCTTTAGTATAAGAGATATTGCACAATCTTAATAATATCTGTAAAGTCGTAAAATAGGCAATATTTCCAAACATTTGCTCAAGAGTAATATTTTCCTATGTTAACATTTTTAATCAGTAAATAACATTTTTCGATGAGGAAGCTACATAATATGTTTACAAATCGGAACGGCTTGTTCATCTTGATGTCCGATTTTGGTTTGCCTCTCTGATAGCTAATTATTTATCATATAGGCTAGTCAAGTTATCTTTAGTTAAATAAATGTTGCCCAATTTTAAATCCTTTTGGTCGTAAAACAGACAATATTTCAAGTAAATTGCTCTAATGCAACATATTTCTATAGCTCCTCATTTTAAAGTTACTTAATCAGCAAATTATTTTTTCAGATGAGAATGCATCATCATATCATTTTCACTGCGATTCAGCGAGTTCAACTTGCTGACAGTTAATAAATAGTCATTTTGATCGATAACATTCTCCGAATATCAAAACGAAAACATTATATAGTCAAGAATGATTGTTTACATTTTGCTAACCACATAAGATTACATTTCCATTGTTTTTATCCGTTTTTAATTTTAAAAAATAATATTAATGTATTAAATGCTAGTTTTAAGACAAACAATATAAATACAAGCAAATAAATACAACTAACTAAAGTCAGTACTAATGATGTGAATAATCAGAAGTAATATTATTTTGCACATGAGGTAAGTTCCAAAAACCTCTTTAGAACTCATATGAAAACCCAAAGAATACATTGTTAACTATATACCAGATACACGATATCAATATGAATTTCGTTTTTATTATGCATTTATTGTTATTTTTATTTATCATTGCAAATTGTTTAATTTCTTTCTCCCGTTGATATAACCCAGGCCAGTTACCCAGAAACGCGGAAATTGACACAAATGATACAGCTTTCAAATTCAAAGTAAACAACAGTAAATTTCTCTCGGCGAACTCGCATTGTTCCTTTCATTTTGCACCGCCGGTGTTGAAAAGTGTCCGATAAAAGAAATATTGCTGATGCCACCTGTTGTTTTTCAAGACAGGCAAGAAGAGCAGTTTCTTTTTTTTCTGTTTCTGCGCAAAGCTTGCTGCGTAAACCCAAGACAGCTGTAATAAATGGATAAATAGCGACTACAAATGTCTGTCCATTCATCATTGTGCATCTTAAACATTACTACCATCGGCAACAAAAAATGATTTGCGTAATACTTAATGGAAGAATGACATTTTTATTCTCATGCGGATTTTGTGTCATAATTTATCACTTCAGTTTTACTGACAGTTTTCAATTCTGATGACAATAACTATTTATATATTTTTATAGTAGACATTATGACAAGTGTATTTTCCATTGTATATATATATATATATATATATATATATATATATATATATATATACATTCATATATATATATATATATATACACATTATATACATACATATATATATACACATCTTTTTATATATACACACATTATATACATACATATATATATACACATTTATATATATATACACATTAAATAAATACATATATATATACACACATATATACATACATATATATACACACAGTTTATACAGGCATACATATATACATATGTATGCATGTATATAATGTATATATATATATATATATATATATATATATATATATATAATGATAAAGAACAAAAGAGGAAAATTTTATCAATCTAACATGTTTCACTTTTATATATCTATATAATTTCTATTTTAGGCTTTTCTTTAGCGCATTCGTAGCATAATTCATAAGGTGTCTAGGAATGCCTGGCTCTAAATATTAAAGGGAACATATTTAAAACTTGACATTTTTTTTCTTTTTTTTTTTTTAGTAATGACATATCCTTCTTCATTAAATGTCGTAGGATAACTACTTGATGTTTTAGATTAAAATAAATAAATATTAAAAAAAAACATCTAAAATGAATAATAGCTAAATATCTGCCCCAACATATGAATTGGAATTTATATCACTGGATGTCGTTCAATTCTATTGAAAGATCTCTTGTCAGCTCATCTATGGAATGAATTCTGCCGAAACCTTTGGAATATAGTGCTTACTAAAGATTTTTGTTTCTTTGTTTATCTTCTTGATAACTATTTCTTTTAGGAATGTGCCAACCATTATAAAGACAGTTGTTTCATTTAATCGTCCAAGACATTCAATATGTTTATTACTAACAGTAAGTTTAATATGGCCGTTGTTATACAATGTCAATGAAGTAATTTTTGAGCCGGTATTGTTCAATACAAAGAAGCAAAAATAAAGAGAAATTAATACAGACTAACTGAACATTTAAAAACAGCTGCGAAAATATTTTTCTTCGAAGCGACAAATTTAAAGGAAATATTCAGCTGCAAAATCTTGCTAAAGCTATCGATATTATTTAAAGAGAAAATAAGAAGGATCATTATATGGCTGACAACGCGCTTATTTTGTAAAGTTTCCAGCAATATATTTTCATACAGATGTTAACTTTGACAATAGATAAAAAGATACGTTTTCAAAATGTTTCTTCAAGGGACCAAAAGAACAAGGACCTGAACGTTAAAAATATATTGATTTATTTGATGTTATTATGAGTAACTGAATAAAGCAAATGAAGCAAAACACTGTTATTTTAGAGTTGAAGTTCACATTTATACTGTTACTGCAATTTATTAGATAGTATCGAGGACAGTGCTTCTTCGAACATCTTTGCACTGGCGTTACATATGTAAAAAAAGTACTAAGTAAAATAGTCACATCTGTAGAAGACATTAAATAGTAGCCATACAGAAACTGTAAACAAATGTAGCCGAAGACGAAAGAATTTTACTCCAGTGAAACAAAAATTCTCCGCTTAATTAGAACCATTACAGTTACTTTGAGTACAGAAATCTATTTCCTCGAAAAAGATATTAACCATTTCACTGCTACTCATCTGCCCAGTGCTGCCACCATCCGGCCAGCCATTTTTAAAGAAAATGCCAAATTTCAACCTACATATTTTATTACACAGAAAACTGGCACCAGTGTGTTTTACAGCATTCCATTTTCATGGATATACTGGCAATGACTTACCAAATCAGTAATGGGTATACACATGATATCTTTTGAAGCATTGTCCTTTGTGATTTTACGATAGATGGCGCAACGGGACACTCATACCAGCGGTATGCAAAAAACGTACATTTCCGTACTTAGCCAGCTGGAGCAAGACAAGAAAAACGAAGGTCTCTGTAGTTAGCAGCGGAAGTGTTAATAGAAATATTTTATAAATACCAAACGAAAATAGCACTAACTAATCGAACAATGAATATTGAATCTTTCCCTGAGTAAACGGGTATCCATATACTGAGCCTTAAGATGAGACTCGTTTCGTGTCAGTGTTATGTAAAATTTCCACTCTTCATCCTCGAATAAATATACGGTGTTACCAAAATTATATATCTATTGAAAGAATTCCAAAACGTAAAATGTCGAGAAATATCAAAAATAATATTTTCAAGAAGTTAGCGCCCCCAACATAATGTATTTATATCAGAGGAGAAATTCAGCTGCATACTCCATCATGAAAACAATGAACTGAGAGTTAAATGCAAAAGTTCATACGGATAGACTATTGTGATGGAAGACAGCAAAGAACACGCTTCGTGACCGCACAGTACAGATGGTCTATTATTAAACATATCTGTGCATCTTTCTACATGCCAATGTTACAGGCATTATCAATATTAACAGAAGATACAGGTAAATTAGGAAAAAAAGTAAATAAAATTACATTTTTTCTAAGATGGAACAAGGTATTTTGTTACTCACGCAAGAGAAGAATATATATTTTCTATATATATATTATTAATAAAGTTTTTATATCAGAATGTCGACCATGTTTACGTGAGATGGTGGCAAGAATAAAATAGAAGAAAATGCGAAATTATATATTTGACAAAAGATATTTTAGTTTATCATATCCAAAATCAAACTTGGTACTGTTCATTGCCTCATTGTTATATTACACCAGTTCTTTTATATATATTTTTTAAATATTTGGTTAATATTACATCAGAATATTGTAAAGATGCATGATTTAATCTAAATTATTTTTAATAAAATCTTACTAACGTATATCAATTTTTCAACATTAATATAACAGTTAAAATCTCTTAAATTTTTTGGCTTATATGTTCATGTTTTTGTAAGAATAATGTAAACATGATGGATATATAAATATTTGCGAAATAAGTTATATTGCTATAGAACATAGACAAATTTTATGACCTAACAAATTCTTTGACTAGAGAATTCTACACAAACAAGCATCAGTATTTAAATAAAAGTGAATTAGAAAAAGTATTCCTTCTTAGTAATTTCCATTAAAATACGTCTACAGGAAAATAGTTTTGAAAAAAAAAGACAGAGAATGAGAAAATTTCAGAACTATACGTGTATATATATATATATATATATATATATATATATATATATATATATATATTTCATTGAATATTTATCAGGGAGATTTTTTTTTAAAGTGCATTTGATCTGTTTTAAACATCATCTTCA